GCCCACACTGACGCGTCAACCCTGCGCTCTCAAAGCACAAGCGGCAGGGGCATTGCCCAGAGAGTCACACAAGCGGCAGGGGCATTGCCCAGAGAGCCACACAAGTCCTTTTTTTTGGGGGGGGGGTCTGGCTGTGGGGCCTGAACTCTGGGCTTGGGCGCTGTCCCTCAGCTCTTCAGCTCAAGGCAAGCGCTCTAGCGCCTGAGCCACAGCGCCACTTCCTGCTTTTCTCTTTTTGCTTATGTGGTGCTGAGGAATCGAACCCAGGGCCTCAGGCATGCAAGGCAAGTGCTCTACCACTGAGCCACCTTCCCAGCCCCATGCAAGTCCTTTAAGAAGACTAGCGCAGAGCAGGGCTCCAGGGCTCACGCCTATAATCCCAGCTACTTAGGGGGCTGAGATCTGCGGCTCAAGGTTCAAAGCCAACCAGGCAGAAAAGTGCATCAGGCTCATGTCCAATTAATCACCAGAAAACTGGAAGTGGTCTGTAGCTCAAAGTGGTAGAGCCCTAGCCTTGAGTAAAAGAGCTCAGAAACAGCACCCAGGCCCCAAGTTCAAGCCCCATGACAAAAAAAAAAAGTGGTATATGTATACACATTTATAATACACACAGAGTTTACATGACTGAGAAGATGTGGACATTTGAAGTCCTGGGCTTGAACACTGAGCCTGGACGCTGTCCCTGAGCTTTTCACTAAGGCTAGCCACTCTACCACTTGAGCCACAGCTTTACTTCTGGCTTTTGGGAGATGGGGGTTAATTGGAGATGAGTCCCATGGACTTTCCCGCCCGGGCTGACTTCAGATCCTCAGATCTCAGCCTCCTGTGTAGTTAGACTTGCAGGTGTGAGCCACCGGCACTTGGCTCCACTGTGAACATCAATGAAATAAAAGGAGGCACAGAGCCAGGCGCTGGTGGCTCCCGCCTGTCATCCCAGCTACTCAGGAGGCTGAGGTCTGAGGATCACAGTTCAAAGCCAGCCCAGGCAGGAAAGCAGTCCATGAGACTCTTATCTCCAATAAACCACCAGAAAACCAGAAGTGGCGCTGTGGCTCAAGTGGTAGAGTGCTTGCCTTGAGCTGAAAAGCTGAGGGACAGCGCCCAGCCCAGAGTTCAGGCCCCATGACCAGACCCTGCCCCCCCCAAAAAAACAAAAACAAACAAAAAAACTTCCTCTACCACTGGAGCCACAGCGCCACTTCTGGCTTTTTCTGCTTATGTGGTGCTGAGGAATCGAACCCAGGGCCTCATGCTTGCAAGGCATGGACTCTACCACTGAGCTACTTTCCCAGCCCCTGACAAAAATTTTTTTTAAAAGGAGGCATAAAACTTCCTCTCACAGGGCTGGGAAAGTGGCTCAGTGGTAGAAGGCTTGCCTTGCATGCCTGAGGCCCTGGGTTCGATTCCTCAGCACCACATAAGCAAAAAGAAAAAAGCCGGAAGTGGCGCTGTAGCTCAAGTGGTAGAGCGCTAGCCTTGAGCTGAAGAGCTGAGGGGCAGCGCCCAGCCCAGAGTTCAGGCCCCATGACCAGACCCCCCCCCAAAAAAAAACAAAAACAAACAAAAAAACTTCCTCTCACCTGTGCTGGTTTTTCATATTGAAGTTAGGAATAAAACAGAAACAACCGCTGAAGATGGATGTTGAGCAGTTTGGGGACTTCTGGAATTGATTCATGTGTAAGTAGGCGCATGTGTAATATGTTTTATTTGGTGTCTAGTTGGCTTATGTAATAGAAAAGTAGAATAATCTGCCCGTCAGGCCGGCGGGAGCCGCTCGCCCCCCATGCCTCCCGTGGACAGCAGCCCCAGCATGAGCTGCGTGGGAGAGAAGGTTCTGGGTGGGGGTGAGTTTGCCAGGTGGCTGGGGTCTTCCATGGAGCCAGCTCTGCTCCCGAGTGTGGGTTGTTAACCGCCAAGCGGCAGCCCAGCCACCCAGGTAGAAGGTTCTAGATAGAGCCAGATTCTGGGCTGATGTGCAGGAAGGTACCCACTGCAAGCCCTGTCTCCCCTCGCCATCTTGTCCCAGCCCTGTGAGGACTGTTATCCCCCCCTTGACAGATGAAGAAACTGAGGCCTGGAGGGAGATGCCCCCACCCCAGGCTGGGCCTGGGTGAGGCCGTACCCCACCACCGGCCCCTGAGCCGGGCAGGGCCGCCCCGCGTGGGCCTCGCGTACCTTCAGCCGGTCCCTGAAGCCCAGGACCTGGTACTCCAGCTCGCGGAGCTGCGGCTGCGCGGGGCCCGTGGACCGCAGCAGCTCCAGCACCTCCTTCAGGGGTCTCGCGGGGGCCCCTGCGGGCCCGTCCTCTCGATCCCCGTCTTCTCCTTCCTCCTGCCCCTTCTGGCTTGGTGGGAGGCCGGGGCTGTGGAACCGGAGGCCCCGGGGCGGGGGGCGGCCGTCCACCCCCGGCTCGCTCCAGCCAGGC